AATTGATCTGGGTTTTTATCCAGTAAGGATGTGCTTTTTAATATGATGTAATACCAAATCCAGACACCTTTTTTTTTTTTGTTGTTTTCTCAGAAATCCTTCCCAGCTGCCAGCAGACAAAGTCCAATCCCTTTGTACTGCAGAGGTGCTGTAAACTAATGCTAGTGTCAAGCCTCATTGTCTACATCCAAGGAGAAAAATGTTAAATTTTCAAGATCAATGAAGATCATCTACTTTCATGATACATTGTTCTTACTAACAGTGATGTACGGGAAGCACCTGAGAGTCAATCTGGAAACTTCTTTGGCCAGGACACAACAATATCTCTTGGTTGTTGATGCGTGGTCTGGCAGCTGTTGCTGCTAATCTGGTTATCAGGGCCTGCAGGTGTATCTGTATTTACACAACTGGCTTCTAAGGACCTACATTTATCAAGTCATGATTTATACTTCACAGATTGCTTGTGTTTTTAAATTTTTTTAAAATATTTTTTATTGAACACTGAGGATAAGAAAGAATGAGGGAAGCCTAGTCTTATTTTCATGTAAGTTCAAGGTTTATTAAATTCCCCAGCATCAGTTTACATTCCTGGATGTTCCTGTCTGCTGAGATGAGTCAGTGGGGAGAGCTGGCAGTGAGGTTTATGTGCCATGTACAGCTGTAGCACCCACTGGAGCTTAGTTCTGCATGGGGCCAGTGCCACACGCTGCTGCTGGGTGCTGACAGAGGATTTGGGTGCTAGAGCCTTGAGTTTGGATCTGCTGCCTTCATGACCTGATGTGGAATCTCCTCCTGGCATTGCCCTGTGCCAGGAGCGGGTGCAGGGATGGTGCTGCCAGAATAGACATGCCCACTGCTGTGCCATCAGGGTGCATCCAGAAAGATGAACTTCCTGGCTTTCATTTCATGCTTTTCTCCCCTAGATCATAGGGAAAGCAAGGGTGGGTCTGGCAGACAGTGCCCTGGGCAATGGCTTATTTGAGGAGTCTGCAGGGTATACAAATGAATTCGCCTCTTGTGTTATACTGGGAGAAGGAATAATAAAGATACTGCATGCCCTTTCAAATGCCACTAAGTTTTCAGTAGCAAAGTGACTCTCAGTACTGCATTTAGGATTTACCAGGCATAATTCTCTATCTGTCAGACCCATTATTAATGAATTATTTTTTCTCCTGCCCCTGAAGCATCTTGCTTCATCCTTAAGTCAGACGTGAGGTTCTGGTTCTAGCTAAACTTTCTCCAATTTCATTATGTACCTATGTGCTCCACAGATCACTTGAGATAATGACTGAAATCCAGTCTCTTGGAATGAAAGAGTCATCCTATGATCTAGTTATTTGTGTAATGTGAAATTATTGTCCAAAGACACTGCCTTTTTATTGGTGTTTTTTGTAACATAATTTTTTGGTTTTGATGATAAATTCAATTGCCCTGTCATGTGACCAAACACTTCTGGCAGGTGTCTGTCTTTCGTGTAAAAGAGATCATATTTTTATGCATCTTATTTTAAGTGGCCTTTAGACATTTTCATAGCAGAGCAGGCTCAGTCTGGTTTGCAGAGGAATAACACTAGAATTTTTCTAATTCTCACTCGTCCTCTGAAGTTTCTTCTTTTACTTTCCCTTCTTGAATTTGTCACTGAAGACCCTGACACTTTTGCAATTGAGCAGAACATTAGTGGTGACTCTTTGAAAAATAAATGTTCATGAAAATGAACTAACAGGATCCAAGCAACATCAGGCAGAAATATTGCAGTGGGTGCTAGAATCCATCCCAATTCACGACTCTGCTCTTCTTGGTATTCAGCTTAAATCAGAAGTTCTGTCAGTACTTCCACAGTATTCACTTCCACAGTATTCCAGTTTTGCATTGCTGCATATTTTAGATGTAAAGAGAACTACTGATTATTTCAGTGAAAGGAAAAAAACCCTTTTAAGTTATTTTGCTTGTGGTTTCTGGTGGAGTTCCCAAGTCCAGCCCACTGGAGATCTCAGAGCAACCTTGTGGCTGCTTAGTGAGTTGGGGAAACATGTCCTTCTTGATCTCAGTCAAAAAGGGAGCTGCCTGGAGCTTTATACTTGTGGATCATAATCCTCTGCATCAGGTGGGGCAGGTCTTGTGAGAGGCACTAACTGCTACTGCTTGGTCTTATTCTGGAAGATGACTCTGATTAAACAGTTTTCTATGGTGTGGAGAGGCAGAGGATTATTTAGAAAAGGCAGAGGATTATTCAGGAAAGGCATTGTTCTCCAAATATCTGCCTCATGGGGATCACATTGGTTTCTGTTTTGTAGCTGGTGCAGAACCAAGGATGTGGGAGCCTTGCTAGGTTTTGTCTTACAGTCCTGGGAGGTACTGGTGGAGGTTGGGTGATTACCTGCTTCGAAGGCTGTTGTGGAGTATCACAGTGAAACAGCCCTTTATCAAGGCACATCTACAGGGGCAACACAATGGGAGGTGTTTCTGGGCTGAGAACAACAATAATTTGATAATGAACAATTTGGGATATGATTTTGCTGAAGACATTCATCCTTCCCTGAGCCACGGCTCTGTTCCAGGATAATGATAGCAGGATAATGACTGTCACTTAACAGAAACTCACTGTGAGTCAGAGGAGTAAAACCATGCTGGACTGTATGTGGGAAGCTGTAATTCTCCTTGAATCCCTGGGTCTGGGGAATAGCTAGAGCTGGACACGTCTGGAGGTCAATGGAGAGGTGATCTGGATGAGGAAACCTACTGAGAGCTAAAGGAACTGCAGCCACTGGGAAGCAGTAGATGCAGTATTTATTAGAACAAGAATCTCTTAACAAGAGCCTAAGTTGATACTGAGTTTTACAAACCTCTACTGAATCCTGTCCATGCACAACACGTACTTTAAATTGTTGCAAAGCACTTTTTGCACTGATGCATAATCCTCAACATAGACAAATCATTGCATTCATTTATGTATGGGACAAACTGCTACCCCCAACATCACAGAGATGCCTGTAAAAACTAAAAATCATGTACTGACAAAAGTACACAAAAAATCAAGGTAATATTTTATTGTAGTGTTGAGCCCCACTTCCGCAGCAGAATTCCCTCTTTCAGCTGAAACGGGCCATTACCATAATACACTGCAAACTCTACAAAATTTCAAGGGAAAATAAAGGGACATTGTCATCATATTGTCCTTCACTAACAAAAGTTACCTCAACTGTTTAAATAATATCCTTGGTCTTCAGCTCCATGCTTTATTTAATAATCTTGGAAACTTCTGTGACCTTTAAGCAATAGTAAACTGTGATTGCTTGACAAATAGGTCAATGTTTGTATAATAGTTGTGTCTTTGGAGGTACAAAAATATTCATCAGAATGCTTTGACTGACTTCCCCCACCCTTCCTCTTGCTGGCAATTTTCCCGCAGCACTGCCCTTTGTTAAACATTATTCCACTTCAAGGGTATTTGCAGGACTAGGAAGCAGGCAGTATATTATGGTCCTTGAAAACACAGGGTGGGGGAGG